TTTAATTTTTATTTTTAAAAAAAAGAAAAATTAATTCTCAGGCCATCTCTGAGCTATTTTAGCAGCAGCTAAACTCCAGCAGCTGCTACCTGCCAGGGAGGGCATCCCGGCATGGGTACCAGCGCTCCTCCGCACGTGCTACCTCCCCAGCCTCCATCCTAAATCACAACACAACAAACAGGCTGTTCATTAGGCACTGTTTAATTAAGCAATATGGATCCTGCCTCGATATTTACAATCCCACTTGCTCTGATTTATTAGATAGAGACTCTCATTTTTAAAGACGGCGACTGTAAAGTTTAATACCGCTTGACTTACTGCGAGTTTCATTTACGGCCCCGGGCCGAGGCACTGCAGCCCAGGCTGGGAGCCTGTGGGCTATTAAATCAGAGTTAACTGCGCATGCAGGGAGATGACTAGCTTCGTTACAACCGGTTCAGTGGCTAATTACCCCAATCTGGATTCCCACATTTAAGCCAATTGGTTGCCACTTTTCCAGGCTCCTGGGGAAGTGCGAGGAAGTTTAGAGGTTGGCACGAAGGCACTTGTTGCAATGAGAAGGGATGGGGGCTGCAATGGGGACGGTTGCAGAGCCCAGACGGATACTGCTTGTCCCAGGAGGGAAGTAATCAGTTTGCAAGAGGGCAGACTCTGAGCTGGGCACCCCCCATGCCATGCAGGGGGATGCTGTGTACAATGATGGCTCCAAGCTCAAGGGTCACCCCAAAACCCACCACCTCCTCTCCAAAACCTCTGGGCATCTGAGCCCTGAGGCTGGGTGGTGGGATGGCTTGTGGGCTCTGGGATGGGGTGATCGGGCAGGAGGATGGGGCCAGCATGCAAGAGGGCTGCATCCAGCCTGGCTCTGAGCGTCACGCTGGCCAGGCCCTTCTCCCTGCCCCAGCCCCATAGGTAGGGATGGGGGAAGCGATGCACAGATGGGGCAGGGGGAGCACAGCCCTTCCCAGAAATTGTCATCTTGTAGGTATGAGGAGAGCACTTCTGTCCTCGCAAGGTATTTCTAGCCCCCAGGAGCCCACTCATGGACTTGACAAGGATAGGGGCCTCATTAAGGAGTTATGAGAATGGCTCTTTAGTGACAAATAAAAACTATTTGTGTGAAAATGTGATGGCAGATGGTGCTGGGCATGCCTCCACATCAGCTGTGGGACACCGCTGTCCAGGACCTACCCCCGCAGAGTCCAGGGGCTTCCCTGGGGGAAGGGGCTGCTGGGGGGGCAGAGCACAGAGCTGGCTGCAGCATCCCTCAGCTCAGCCCAGGGACTGGGCTGCTGCTGCCCCAGGACATGGGCGGGCACAGGGAAGGCGAAAGGGGGGCAGCAGCACCAGGAGCAGAGCTGGACCCCCTGGCAGCCCCCAGGCTAGCGATGAACCAGCCCCATATTGCATCCTGGCAGCCCTGCACAGCAGCCCCAGGCAGAGAGGAGGAAGAACAGCTGTGTGAGCCACGGCCAGGCATCCTTGCCCAGCAGCCTCCATGCAGCATGTTTGCCAGTCCTCAGCCCTCTACCAGTTGCTGGCTAAGCCTTGGGCGACATCAATTCCTCCCTGCTTCCAGCTCATCTCCGAGCCTGCAGCGTTCAGAGGCGGGCTCAGAGCTCCCCCCAGGGAGGAAGAGGAGGCAACGCAGAAAGAGACAGCAGCAAGCAGCGTAGGGCTGCCAGCACAGCCCCTGCAGCCCCCAGGGTTATCCCCCCACACCAGGTGGGGGTCCCAACCAGAGACCCCAAACATCCCACACGCAGGGCCGAGAGCCACGAGGGCACAGGCAGAGGCACTTTGCTTCCAGGTTTTATTGGCCAGTGGAGCTGTGCCCCTCCACAGGGCAGGCAGCACTCCCAGTCCCACCAGTAAGACTGGACTAGGAGGAGAGGGAGCCCTTTAATGCTGGTACAAGCACGCTGCAGAAGTGGGAAGACAAAGCCTGGGATGGGGAAGGAGACTGGGGGAACCACAACGCCTGCGCAAGGATGCCACAGGATTAGGACTGGGGCACCTGAACAGGCAAAACCAGTCCCCAGGCTGGGCCCAGCCATGACAAGGCTCAGAAGCTGGGAGACCAGAGGGCTCACAAGCAACACGAGTTCCCAGGCCTCAGCTCTCACCACCCCCAGCTGACTCCTCTCCCTGGCCTCACCCAGCAGAGCCAAGGGCCAGCTCTGCTGCTCCCCGTCACAACGTCTCCTTGGCCCTCCGCTTGTAGTGCACCTCGGGGAGGTTCCTCAAGCGCTCAGCCGCCTACGGGGCACAGTACAAGGGGCAGACAGAGGCCGGTCCTGGGGACGGCCCCAGCAC